ATATATATATAAAGACATGTGGGCCGGCGCCGCGGCTCACTAGGCTAATCGTCCGCCTAGCGGCGCCGGCACACCGGGTTCTAGTCCCGGTCGGGGCGCCGGATTCTGTCCCGGCTGCCCCTCTTCCAGGCCAGCTCTCTGCTGTGGCCAGGGAGTGCAGTGGAGGATGGCCCAGGAGCTTGGGCCCTGCACCCCATGGGAGACCAGGAAAAGCACCTGGCTCCTGGCTCCTGCCATCGGATCAGCGCGGTGCGCCGGCCACAGCACGCCGACCGCGGCGGCCATTGGAGGGTGAACCAACGGCAAAGGAAGACCTTTCTCTCTGTCTCTCTCTCTCACTGTCCACTCTGCCTGTCAAAAAAAAAAATACATGTGAAAAATATTTTTGGTAAAAATCAAGAACAAAATGAAGATGCCTACATGGGTGGACATTGATTTGTGTCCCCAAAAAAGGTATGTGGAGGCCAGCCCTGACCTCTGCTGCCTGTAAAGGTGACCTCATTTGGAAAGATGAAAGGTGGTCCAGAAAGGTCACAGAAAATGGAATTAAAAGATAATTTCACTTTGGGGCAAAAATATTTTCAGATCTATGCATGTCATAATACATATTTTTCATAAGCTGTCTTCAAAGATTCATTTATTCACGTGAAAGGCAAAGTAACAGAGAGGAAGGGAGGGGCGGGAGGGAGGGAGGGAAGAGGGGGAGAGAGAGGGAGAGAGGGAGAGAAACGGAGAGAGAGTGAGAGAGAGAGAGAGAGACCAAGACCAATGGAAATTTGCTGGTTCACGCTCCAGATGGCTGCAACAGCCAGGGCTGAGCCAGACTGAAGCCAGGAGCCAAGAACTCCACCTGGGTCTCTCACCTAGATGGCAGGAGCCCAAGCACTTGGGCCATCTTTCCGGGCCTTCCCAGGCACATTAGCAGAGGTAGATCAGAAGTGGAGCAGCCGGCTGGCGCCACGCCTCAACAGGCTAATCCTCCGCCTTGCAGCACCGGCACACGGGGTTCTAGTCCCGGTCGGGGCGCCGGATTCTGTCCCGGTTGCCCCTCTTCCAGGCCAGCTCTCTGCTGTGGCCAGGGAGTGCAGTGGAGGATGGCCCAAGTGCTTGGACCCTGCACCCCATGGGAGACCAGGAGAAGCACCTGGCTCCTGCCTTCAGATCAGCGCGGTGCGCCGGCTGCAGCGGCCATTGGAGAGTGAACCAATGGCAAAGACCTTTCTCTCTCTCTCTCTCTCTCTCACTGTCCACTCTGTCAAAAAAATAAATAAATTAAAAAAAAAGGAAGTGGAGCAGCCAAGACTCAAATCAGTGTTCATACGGGATGCCAGCGGCATGGGTGGCTTAGCCTGCTGCACCACAACACCAGCCCCTTTCAGGAACTCTTTGAAGACAGCGTGTGCACAGATTTCAGAACTTTTCATGCAAAAACAAATGAAAGTTTTATTAATTTTTACAGTTATTTACTTGAGAGGAGGAGAGGCAGAGAGATCTCCATCTCCTGGGTCACTCCCCCAAATGCTCGAATGGCCAGGGCTGGGCCCAGCCAAAGCCAGGAGCTGGAAACTCAATCCAGATCTCCCACATGGACGGCAGGCACCCCAGCACCCGAGCCATCACCTCTGCTTCTTAGGGTGTGCATTCGCAGGAAGCTGGATCAGAAGCAGAGGAACCAGGACTGGAATTCAGGCGCTCCAACATGGGATGAAGGCATCCCAAATGGCACTGAACTCCAGTGGCTGGCACTGTGGCGCAGTAGGTTAATCCTGCACCTGAGGTGCCAGCATCTCATATGGGCACCGGTTCGAGTCCTGGCTACTCCTCTTCCAATCCAGCTCTCTGCTGTGGCCTGGGAAAGCAGTAGAAGATGGCCCAAGTCCTTGGGCCTCTGCACCCACATGGGAGACCTGGAAGATGCTCCTGGCTCCTGGTTTTGGATCATCCCAGCTCCAGCCACTGTGGCCATTTGGGAAGTAAACCAGCAGATGGAAGACTCTCTCTCTCTCTCTCTCTCTCAAATAAATAAATAAAAATCTTTAAAAAAAAAAAGCTGGCAGCAAAATTACTCTGTAAAAGGAGAAGTTTTCTTATGTCTTAACAACAAGCATTTGCAAATAAAGGAGAAAACAAGTTCCTTCACAATGCAGCAAAAACTCTAATCACAAGAATACAGAGAATGCTACTACACTTAACTATGACCTAATAAATAGATGCAGCACGAGTTCTTAACAAGAACACTATGTACTTCAAAGAGGTTAATTCGTCCCAAACCAATTTATAAGTCCAATGCCACCCCAAATAGATTCTTTTTTTTTAAATAATTTATTTTGACAGGCAGAGTGGACAGTGAGAGAGAGACAGAGAGAAAGGTCTTCCTTTGCCGTTGGTTCACCCTCCAATGGCTGCCACTGCCGGCGCGCTGCGGCCGGCGCACCACGCTGATCTGAAGGCAGGAGCCAGGTGCTTCTCCTGTTCTCCCATGGGGTGCAGGGCCCAAGGACTTAGGCCATCCTCCACTGCACTCCCTGGCCACAGCAGAGAGCTGGCCTGGAAGAGGGGCAACCGCGACAGAATCCGGCGCCCCGACCGGGACTAGAACCCGGTGTGCCGGTGCTGCAAGGCGGGGGATTAGCCTAGTGAGCCACAGCGCCAGACCCAAATAGATTCTTTGACAGAGACTTTGTGTTCAGATATGCGTAACAGAGTTGACCATTTTAAACATTCAGAGTGTTCAATTCAGTGCCATTAAGTACATTCACGGCAAGGTGGGTATTTGGTGCCCTGATTACGCCACTGCTTGAGACACCCACATCCCACATCAGAGGGCCTGGGTTCGAGTCGCAGCTCTGCTCTAATTCCAGATTGCTGCTAAGACAGACTTTGGTGGGACTGGCACTATGGCGTAGTGGGTAAAACCTCCTCCTGAAATTCCGGCATCCCATATGGATTCTGATTCATATCCTGGCTGCTCTTTTTCCAATCCAGCTCTCTGCTATGGCCTGGGAAAGCAGCAGAAGATGGCCCAAGTGCTCAGGCCCCTGCACCCACATGGGAGACCTGGAAGAAGCTCCTGGATCCTGGCTCCAGCTATTATGGCTATTTGGGTAGTGAACCAATGGATGGAAGATCTATCTATCCCCCTCTCTCTCTGTAACTCTACTTCTCAAATAGATAAATCTTAAAAAAAATTTTAACTTGCTTCTGCTGGTATATGATGAAGAATACAACTCAGAACAGTCCAAGGGGACAGGTGCGCCAGACATGAGATGACATGGAGGGGACATGTGGAGTTGCCACGCTCACAGAAGGTACATCACACACACAGCACCTGTATGCGCTCACCCACCCAGGACCCCTCAAATCTCACTTGTCAAGCTGGTGTTGTGGGTTAAGCTGCTACTTGCAGTGCCCAGCAGCCTCTATTGGAGCCCTGGTTTGAGTCCAGATGTTTCATTTCCAATCCAGCTTCCTGCTAATGCACCTGGGAGACAGTCATTAATGGCTGAAGTGCTTGGGCCCTTGTCACCAACATGGGAGGCTGGGAGGGAGTTCCAGGCTCCTGGCTTCAGCCTGGTCCAGTCCTGGTTGTTGTAGCCATTTGAGGAGTGAATGAGTGGATGGAAGATCTCTCTCTCCATCTCTGTCACTCTGCTTTTCAAATAAATCTTTCTCTCTCTTTTTAAGGGTGTTTATAGAATACAATCTCCAATGAGCCATCACCTATTTGGTCTCTCTGGTGATCAGGCCATTCTGAGGCCATCTAGGGGTTCATTCACATAAACCCAGGTGTGGTCAAAGGCACCCCCATCACTCCGAAATTAGGACAGACACCACCGACCCAATAGATTCTCCCACACAGGAGTCGCCCCTCCAAGCTGTCCCATACTGAGCCAAGACAGCCAGACTTTCACTCACTTGCACCTAGGTAAGCTGTGCCAGGAAGGGGCCTGACTATGAGAGAGGCAGCTCCATGACAATGAAATCTCTCTCCAAAGCAGCAGACAAGGTGATGGCTGCCTGCCAACAGAACTCCTAGCCACGGGGACACCGTGTCCTTCCTTGAAGGATGTGAGGGTCGGGCACTGGGGCACAGCCACCTGACCTGCTGCTTGGGGCAGCAGCGTCCCATATCAGAGCATCTGGTTCAAGTCCCAGCTCCTCCACTTCCCATCCAGCTCTTTGCTCGTGCACACCCTAGGAGGCAGCAGGCCTTAGCTCAGGGGCTTGGCCCCCTGCTGTCCACAGAGGAGACCTGGATTGAGTCCCCAGCTCCTGGCTTTGACCTGGCCCAGCTCTGGCTGTTGTGAGCATTTGGTGGAGTGAACCGGTTCAGCGTTTATAATGAAAAACTTAAAGAAAAAGAGTAGCCACTCTAGAGCCAGCAAGGGAGGAGGGAGCTGGGGTGCTTACACCCCAACTCTCAGGAGGCACTGGAATTAATTCCCTGTCAAATGAGCTCCAGAAACCAGAGAAAGGGTGCAGGGCACGGTTACAGGGACGCAGTGCAGGGATGAGGGCCGCAGGAGGCACAGCAGGTGCACGGGGCAGTCCCTGAGCTGAACCGAACGCAGGAAGCCCCCGAAGCCGCCCCACATCCGCTCTCCAAGGGTGTGCCAGGACCACAACCTGGAAGCCAGGGGGCGGGGATGGCCGCGCCGCGTCAGAGGCAGCCAGAACCCCGCTGTGCCCGTTGGAGACGCCGCACCAGACGATTTCAATCCTGGCGGGTGGAGGAGGCAGCCCGGGAGGAGCCGTCTTCCGTCCCGGCGCAGGCGGCTGCGGCTCCGCGGCTTGCACACCTGGAGTCTTTCCAGCCGTGGCCTCTGAACTCCCCTCTGACGTGGGTGGGCTCCCCGGGGTTCCGAAGCCTGGCGAAGCTGCGCAGCCCGGCCCGGAGCGGAGCGAGAGCCTCCGCCCCGCCCTCCCGCAGCGGGACCCAGGGCGAGACGCGCGTGGGAAGCGGGATTCCAAGGCAGCTTCGTTTAGGCTTAAACACTCACAGTGCAAGGAGGAAACGAAGCCTGGATTTCGGTCGTCTTTTGTGCATCTCTGGATTCTGTGTCCCACGAGCGTTTTGCAGCCACGTTCCCTGCTGTTGTGAACCTGACGACGGGACGGCAGTCTTGCGCATCGCTGCTGGGCGGGCCGGGTTCTGGGCAGCTCAATCACCTGGCCTTTCCTCTCCTAGCCAGCCCTGGGGAGAAGCCCTCCCACCTGGGGGCGTGGTTCAACATATAAGTCAATCAACGTAGAGGTCACGCCCCCAGCCGCCATACTGGAGGCCACAGTACACCTGCCTGGATTAGGAGCCCGGCAAGCCCCTGTGGACCAGAGAAAGGGTTCAGACTCGTGACCCTGCCTGGCCCTTTTTCCCCCACGGACACCATCACAAAGCTCATGCCCACCCCCCACAGCTACGGCCTAAAGTGCACCCCGGTGTTTCCCTGTTTGTGCCGTACCTTTGCTGGGACCTACATCCTTGCAATGACCTCTTGGACTCACTCGACCTTGGATTTTTCCATTAATACACCATGATTAAAAAACATCCGCCCAGGGTGCCACTCTGATGATGGAATTTGGGGCACCTGCTGCCTGATTTGATCATGGCTACGCCAGTCATATCCGGAACTCCATGAAAGTCCCAGCCGCTTATGCCCAGGGGGTTTGGAGGATTCCCCAGGTGCAGCTGAGGCCCGAGTTCCCTTGCCACACCACCTCTTCCCCGCACCTACTTGAGTAGCAGAGGCAAGCCATCCACCTGTGCCACGTGCCCTCCTTACTGAAGGCTGAGAGTCCATCCAGGCGGAGCCTGCTGTCTTAGAAGTCGGCTGTGCAGGAAGGACTGGGAGGGATTGGAGGAATGAGGAAGGAGCTCTGCCTGCTGTTTTGCGGGCTCACTATCCTCCCCCCAAACTCTCGGCAGGAAGTTCTGCTTGTAGTCTAACCTGCAGGTGTCCAGAGTAGCAGGTCCTGAGCCCCTTGGGAGCTGCGGCCCCTGGACACCCGGACTCTGACTGCACACAGAACATGCACATCTTACTAAGGCTGCAGATGTCTCTGTCTTGCATGTTCTGAGCATGGGAACTGGCATTAATGTGCTGGTCCCACGCCCCTCTCCACCCCACCCACGGAGACCCTTCCCCAGCCCAGCAGAACCCAACAATCCCAGACCTATCGCTGTAGAGCTCAGAACGGAAGGGAGGAGATTGGCTCTAATGGAGTGCCCACTGTATACACAGCCCCTGTGAACACCAAGTGCAGCCAGCACTGCAGTGCTGTCTTCCCATTTCACAGATGAGGGCCTCAAGGCTCAAACAAATCACATGACACAGAGGCCCCGTCCAGCCCTGGACGCCAGTGTCCACGACTCACCCACTCCTGCCTTCAGCTGCCTCAGATCCTGGATGATCTCTCCCCCTCTTCTGCCGGCCCCTGTTTGTGGCAGCTCTGGACTTGGAGACTAAGCCAAGAAAAGCAGGATTGCAATGATTAAACACCTCTTGCGTGCCATGTCCTGGGACGTTGTGTTGGAGAGTCAAGCTCGAGGTGTCCCCTGAGATGCCCTGCAGGCGAGAAGGACAGGGCTGCAGGCCAGTGACAGCCAGGCCCGGCCCCCACCTCCCGGGAACCAGCAGTCCAGGGAGGCAGGGATCTGACGTGCATCACAGCACGCGTGTTCCAGGAATCCAGGGAGGTGGTGCTTCGGCGATCCGAGGCCCCTTATGGCACGGTCAGCCTGGGGGGCGCTCCGTGGACTCCTCGTCTTGCCAGGTCACCCCCCTCCCCCACCTTTCTTCCTGGAGTCTCCATCCCTTCCCACCTCCAGGTTCAGCTGCCTGGGTTTGCTGATGTCTTCTGTTACAGGGAATACTGCTGGCCTCAGCAGCCAGGGCTGAACCATGGTGTCTCCTGTCCCTTTAATGGCCCCTCTTTAATGCCTGTGAGTACTGTGGCAGGACACTTTGCTAACTGCTGTCCATGCCCATCCACTCCGTCTCCCTGTCCTGTGATCCATGGTACAACCTCTGTTCGACAAGTGAGAAGTTTGGGTAACTGGTCCAAGGTTATATGACTGTTGACTGGGGAAGTGGAATTTCATCCCTGGCCATCTGCCTCCACGCTGTTGACCAAAGAGCATCCAACAGTCTCTAGGAAAAAAGAGAAAGATACTTAGAGCTTTATTCTGAGAAGTCCCTAATGAAAAGTCCCAAGATCCACCAGCAAAATGACAGCAAGAACAATGATCTGTTCAGAGAGTAGAGTTCTATACAGCAAAGAAAAAGGAACCTGCTAATGCATTCTACAATGTGGAGGTCTCACACAAGAGCAAAAGAACCAAGACATAAAGACCTCACCTGCCGGAGCTGACTTAACGTGCACGTCCAGAACAGGCAACTCTTGGGACTTGTTTAAAATCAGGGTTCGCTGCATAGGCTAGCGGGGGTTGACAGCAGGGGAGGATCGGGATTTCTTCTGCATGCTGGAAAGTCTCTATTTTTGTCATAGAGGTTATTGCATGGATTTGTTCTTCCATAAAAGTGTGTTCACCATGTGGGCGTTTGGTGCAGCAGTTGGGTCACTGCTTCAGACACCTGCTTCCCATCTCAGAGTGCCAGGGTTTGAGTCCCGGCCCTGCTCTCCACTCCAGCTTCCTGCCGATGTACACCTTGGGAGGCAGCAGGTGATGGCTCAAGAACTTGGAGCCCTGCCATCCAAATGGGAGACCTGGATAGAGTTCCTGGCTTCTGGTTTCAGCCAGCAGCTATTGTAGGCATTTGGGTGTTAACCAGTAGAGGGAGATCTCTTCTCTCTCTCTCTCTCTCTCTCTCTCTCTCTCTCTCCCTTTCAAAAACATACATTTTAAACATAAACACTGAAGTTTAATAGACAAGAAAGATGTACAGGTGGTCAACAGGTGCATAAACACAACATCACTCATCATTAGGGACATGCAAACTGAAACCACAGGGAGATTTCATCTCACACCAAAGAGACAACTAAAAACAAAACAAAACAAAACAAAACCTAGAATAACCAACATAGGCAACGACGTGGAGAACTTGGAAGCCTGGTGCACTGTGGACGCGAAGTCAAAAATGATGCAACTTCTGAGAAGAATGGACCGGCAGCTCCTCAAAACACTCAAAGTAGAGTGACCCCAGGATGCAACCACTTCACTGCTGGGGTGTACCCAAAAGAGTTGAGATTGGGGATTTAGTAAGACATTCGTCCTCCCCACCTCCATGTTCAGAGCAGCCTGGTTCCCAGTGCCCAAAAGGGAGAAGCCACACAGTGTACCTGTGGGCAGAGAGGCAGCCAAGCCTACCAGGTTGTGCACCTGCAGGGGAAGAGTATCCAGCCCTTGCCAAGGAACAAGGTCTGATGTGTGGCAACTGAAAGAAGCCAGGTGCAGAAGACAAACACTGCGTGGTCCCACTTACTTGAAGTCCTTGTCATGGACAAAGTCTAAGAAGCAATAAGTGGAACAGTATGGGGCTGGTGTGGTGGTGTAGAGGGTTAAGTTGCTACCTGTGGTGCCTGCATCTCGTATGGGGGAGGTTCGTGACCCCACTGCTCCACTTCTGATCCAGCTCCCTGCTAATGTGCCTGGGAAAGCAGTGGAGAATGGTCCAAGTGCTCGGGCCCCTGCAGCTACATGGGAGACCTGGAAGACGCTCCTGGCTCCTGGCTTCAGCCTGGCCCAGCTCCATCCGTTGTGACTGTCTGGGGTGTGAAGCAATGGATGGAGGATATCTCTCTCTCTAAGCAATGGATGGAAGATTCTCTCTCTCTGACTCTGCCTTTCAAATAAATAAACCTTTTTTAAAAGTTTATGAGAATGCATTTCTGAAAAGACTACGCATGTATTTTACAAATTCATTGCACTAATGGAACTCATCAACTTACTCCACTTTCCCACGAACTCGGAGGCACCCTCGCAAACGTGCATGCACCTGGAACCCAGTGAAATGCACTGTGCAACAGTTTCCGCAGAGCTCCTCCACAGAGGTGGCTGGGTGGGACTGAAATCCCCAAACCTAACCACTGTGGTGTCTGGTCGCTGAGCCTCACCCCCAGGCTCAGGCAGAGGGCGGGGGTGGGGGGGTGGAAGAGCCCTGCCCTAAGCCACCTCAGTCACATGACTCAGTTTTGTTTTGTTTTTACAGGCAGAGTGGACAGTGAGAGAGAGAGAGAGACAGAGAGAAAGGTCTTCCTTTTGCCATTGGTTCACCCTCCAATGGCCACCGCGGCCGGTGCACCGCGCTGATCTGAAGGCAGGAGCCAGGTGTTTCTCCTGGTTTCCCATGGGGTGCAGGGCCCAAGCACTTGGGCCATCCTCCATTGCACTCCCAGGCCATAGCAGAGAGCTGGCCTGGAAGAGGGGCAACCGGGACAGAATCCGGCGCCCCGACCGGGACTAGAACCCGGTGTGCAGGCGCCACTAGGTGGAGGATTAGCCTATTGAGCCATGGCGCCAGCTCAGTTTTGACACAAGACATCACTACCATCCAGGAGTTGGGGACAAATTGTAGAAATATATATTTATTTATTAACATCTGAGAAACAGAGACAGATAGATAGACCCACAGAAAGATCTCTCAAATGGTGGTTTACTCCCCAAGTGTCTACATTGGCTGGGAATGGATCTGGTTGGGGCAGAGCCAGGAGCTAAAAATGCAATACAAGTCTTCCAAGTGGGTGGCAGGGCGCCAAGTACTTGACCCATCAGGGCTGCCTCCTAGGGTCTATAGTAGCAGGGCGTTGGAATAGGGAGTGGAGCTGGGACTGGAACCCAGGCGCTCTGCTATGGGATGGGGGAATAGCTCCCTGGTGCTGCCAGCCTGCTGAATGAGCCCCGGAGTCCAGAGAATGTCCTCCGTAGAAAAGGTTCAGGGCATGGTTAAAGGGACACAGTGCTGGAACGGAGTCCCCCGGGAGGCACAGCAGGTGCACGCGGCAATCCAGACCTTCTGACCTTGCCAAGGAAGCCAAAGCTAAACGGAACGCATGGTGCCCCCCCAAGGCTGCCCCATATCAGCTCGCTTTATTAAGCTCCAAGTGTATGCCAGGACCACCACCTCAAAGCCGGGGGGAGCCCGGAGGTGCCAGAGGCAGAACAGAACCCAGCAGGGACCATAGGAGTTGGAGACCAGGATAGAGAGAAGTCCCAGGGCACCTGTGAAGATGACAACCCTCGCGGGTAGGCGGGGGGTCCCGGTGCCAGGGCGGGTGAGGTCCTGGCCTCCACCCCCGCCAAGCGGGCTGGGGCTGCAGCTGCGCGCTGGGGATGCCGCCTTCAGTTGTCGGCGCAGGAGTTTGCGGGCTGCTTGCACACCCAGAAATTCTCCACCTCGCACTTGTTGTCGTTCCAGCCATTGCCGCTGAACTCCCCGCAGTCTTCCTCGCCGTGGTTGTTGGGCTCTCCTGGGTTCCAGTACTTCATGAAGCTGCAGGGGCCGCGCAGGACGTGAGCCTCCGTCCCTGACCCCCGGGGTTGCAGCCTGGGGCTGAGCTTCTATGGCTTTGATCTCTGAGCACCTGCTCTGCACGCATGCGTGGACCCCACCCGCTCTGTTCCCAGGGCCACCTGGTAAGAAGCTTGCAGCGTGAGGATGACGTGGCCCCCGGACCCTTCCATGAGCCCCTCCCTGGAGTCTTCCACCGGTCCGGTGGTTTTCAGGGAGAATCAGAACCGGTCCAGAATCGCCAGCCACACCTCCCTCACTGACCTCTCCTGCTCTGGGCCACCCTAAAGGCAGCCCCTGGACCCTGCAGGCTCACCCATGACTTGGCCTCCCCCACGCCTTCCCGGGAAAGCACCATAAAGGGTTGTGCCCCGGGTCACCCTCCCTGTGCCTCGGAACAATCCTGGTGCTTCCCCAGCTGCCTGGATCTGCGCTCCTGTTCTGGGAGCTGGGAGCAGAACCATCTATCTGTTTACTGGCAGCTGTGTCCTGAATTCCTGGCCTTCCTCTACTTCAGATCTTCCCTTTCATAAACTATGTTGGGGGATGGCATGGTGGTGCAGCAGGCGAAGCTGCGTTTGGGACGCCGGCATCCCGTATTGGAGCGCAGGTTTGAATTCTGGCTGCTCCACTTCTGCTCCAGCTCCCTGCTGATGCACCGGGGAAAGCAGCAGGGGATGGCCCAAAGGCTTGGGCTCTAGCACCCACGTGGGAGACCCGGATGGGGTTCCTGGGTCCTGGCTTCAGCCTGGCTGAGCCACAGTGGCTGTAGCTACTTGAGGAGTTCACAAGCAGATGTTGCTCTCTCTCTCCCTCTCTCCCTCCCTTCCTCTTTCCCCTTCTGTCTTCCTCTCTCCCATGCTCCCTCTGTCACTCTTTCAAACAACTAACTAACTAAATAACTAAATAAATAAAGTGCAGTTTTCAAACATCTGCCAAGGCTGCAAGATCCACCCACAGCTCTCATGGTGGAATTCACAGAACCTGCTACCCCATTGGGCATAGACGTGTTCATCACATTCTGAACTCAGCAAAATACCCCCCGGCATTGATGCTGGGGTGAGGCAGGGGTGGGGGGAGGGGCGTCGGGAGTGGGAGAGGACCTGTGGGAATCACTGAGGTCTGACGCTCAGAGCCCTGCCCCCCCCTACCCGGGGAACAGGGTCTGCCCCTCCCCTCTGGACCCCACCTGAGCAGCAGAGCTGAGCCATCCACCCAGTGCCACGTGGCCTCCTTGTTCAGGTCTGACAGCCCCATCCAGGTGGAGCCTTTGGACTTGGAGGTCTGCTGTAGGAAGGACTGGGTGGGCAGAGGAGACATCAGGAGACAGCTCTGCCCTGCCTCCCCCAAACTCTCAGCAGGAAGTTCTACTTGCAGTCTAACCTTCAGCTGTCCAGGTCCTGAGCCCCACGTGGGCTAGGATGGCTGAGTTGCTTGTACAGCATAGCCCCTGGACATGTGGACTCTGATTTGCTTGCACAGCATGCATAGTGCAATGTCTTCGTAGTCCCCCCCGCCCCCGAGGGATATCCCATGGGCAGCATAACACCAGCTCCCGTGGGAATGTTTACACCAGGGAAATAGGCAGATGCCACAGCCCACTGTGCACCTGTGAGTTGGGGCCTCAATGCTGGCCAGCGCACCCCTAGAGCTTAGGTGCATTTAAGGGGTCCCCTAAAGCATTCTCCTGAGTCCACATCATATCTGGGGCCCCGTGCAAGGCACCTAGGACCTCCTCAGGGGTGTCCTTCTCCCCCCTACCTTCCCAAGTGGAGTGGGAGGCCCTGCACCCAGAAATTGCCCCGTGGTCATCTCTCGTGGACACATGGCCCAGGCCAAGACGCACGCCTCCCCGCCCAGCACACCTGCTCCTCAGCACTTTGGACGATGACCAGCTGGGCCCCCATTTCCTGGCACGCGGAGAGGGAGTCATGCCAGTTCCGCTGGGACTTGGAGAAGAAATAGCAGTGTTCTTGGAAGAAAGTCCAGTCCCAGGAGCAGCGGCGGCACAGGTGGGCTGTTGGGGGAGGCAGGGGAGGCTGAGACCCCAATGTGGAGGCCGTCACATGCCCAGTCACCCTTCCAGGCCTGGAGAGTCACGCCTGTCCCTGGGTACACCACGCCCCTCTCCACTCCACCCACAGAGACCCTTCTCCAGCCCAGCAGAACCCAACAATCCCAGACCTATCGCTGTAGAGCTCAGAATGGAGGGGAGGAGACTGGCTCTAATGGAGTGCCCACTGTATATGCAGCCCCTGTGAACACCAAGTGCAGCCGGCACTGCAGTGCTGTCTTCCCATTTCACAGATGAGGGCCTCAAGGCTCAAACAAATCACACGACACAGAGGCCCCTTCCGGCCCTGGACACCAGTGTCCACGACTCACCCACTCCTGCCTTCAGCTGCCTCAGATCCTGGACGATCTCTCCCTCCTTTGACAGCTCCTGTTTGTGGCAGCTCCGGACCTTGGAGACTAAGCCAAGCAAAGCATGCAATTATCATATACCTACTGTGTGCTGCAATTATTATACGCTTACTGTGTGCAATGCACTGCCCTACACGTCAGGAATACTGTTTCTGAGAGCCAAGGTCTTGGCAACCCAGGTGGAAGATGAAGAAACTGACTCCTGGAGCCAAGGATCTCTCCCTCCCCTCCTTTCCCTGCCAAGATGGCAGGGGCAGGGGGGAGAGGCTGCCTAGAAGCCCCGACGCCGGCTTTCTCAGTCATTTCTCTCCCTTCTGTGGCCCCCAGCCCAGGGCCAGGTCAGGGAGCCCCAGACCCTCAGGACCTGCACCTGACCTTGGGCGAGGATGGCCACCAGGAGTACAGTGAACAGCGTGAAGCACAGGAACTGCAGCAGCAGGTGCCGGTGTCTCCCGAGATGCCCTGCGGGGAAGAAGGACAGCGGCTCCAGAGCCACGCAGTCCCTGCCTCCCCTGGCCCGGGGACAGCCAGGCCCGGCCCCCACCTCCCCCTGGGATCCAGAAGTCCAGGCCCCCCATTCTCTTCTTCCCCAGAGCTGGGCTTCTCGGAGGACCTCTCCCCTTCTCCCCATGCATTTGCCGCACCTGCAAAGCTCTTGAGACCTTGAACCCTTCCCAACCCAAAGTCTGTCCTGGAGTCTCGGGGGCTGCCTCCGATGAGATCTTCCTCCTCTGAGTGGACAGAGCATCTGTCAGAGCCTGGGCCAGCCGGGACCCCAGTGCACCCTCTCCTGAGCCCAGCCAGTGCTGACCCAGCCTCACCTAGGGGGTCCAGCGGCTGCACCCTCGCAGCCTTGGTGTCGTTCATGTCATCCACTGTGTCTCCACACCTGAGACTGCTGAGGCCTGTCGCCTTTAATTCCTGCCCCTCGCTCCTTATATATTTATGGTCACCCTAGAAGAGGAAGAGGAAACTGGGCAGGGGCTCCAGAAAGGACTGGGGGGAGTGGGAGTAGGGGTGGAGGGCAACATGCAGCTGTATCAAGGCACACGTGTTCCCGGAATCCGGCGGGGGGTGGTGCTGGCAGAGGTCTGAGGCCCCTTGTGACATGGCTGGCCTGGGGACACCCTCCTCCACCCGCCTTCCTGGTAGTGCCATCCTCCTAGCAGGCTGGGCTGCCTGGGTTTGCTGATGTCTTCAGTTATGGGGAATTCTGCTGGCCTCTGCAGCTGGGGCTGAACCGTGATTTCTTGTGATTTAACCCCTGTGACCACCATCGCTGGGCATTCTGCCAACTTTATATGGCTTTTAATTCTGTCTGTAACATAGGATCCATTTTACAGAGGAGGGGAACTGAGTCATGATTAGTTTAAGTAACTGGCCCGAGGTTACACAGCTTGTCTTGGGATTTCGTCCCTGGCAGCCTGCTGCCACAAACCACAGGGTTAACCAACAAGAGTTCAGTCACCTCCGGAAGAGACAGAAAGATTCCTGGGAACTTTATTTAAAATGGTCTCTATCTGCAAAATCCCCAGGGCCACCAGTGAATGAATGAAAACCAAAACGGTGGCCTCTTCAGAGAGTGGAGTAGTATGCAGCCATGGAAAGGGACCGAATCCGTCCAATGTTGTGGGCGAATCTGACACAAGAGCGACAGAATGAGTAGGCTTGGTAAGATCTGGTTGGATATGAACTTCAAGAACAGGCAAGACACCAGTTGAGGGTTACCTGGGAGGAGGCCTGTGTGCAGATGACCCAGGAGAGGGCACAGGGGCATCTTCTGTGTGCCCGAAGTGTTTTCATTTGATCTGAGAGCTGTGCAATTTTTTGTATGGGTGTTATAATTATTTATAAGTGGAAAATATATATTTGCTTCATGATCAAAGATGTCTTGGTCTTTTTCTTTTTATTATTTATCTCTTTTTTTCATTTGACAGGTTGAGTTATAGACAGTGAGAGGGAGACAGAAAGAAAGGTCTTCCTTCTGTTGGTTCACTCCCCAAATGGCCACTATGGCCGGCACTGCACCAATCAGAAGCCAGGAGCCAGGTGCTTCCTCCTGGTCTCCCACGCAGGTGCAGGGCCCAAGCACTTGGGCCATCATCCACTGCACTCCCGGGCCACAGCAGAGAGCTGGACTGGAAGAGGAGCAACTGGGACTAGAACTCAGCGCCCAAATGGGATGTCGGTGCTGCAGGCAGAGGATTAACCAAGTGAGTCATGGTGCAGGCCTTTATTATTTATCCTTTTAAAGATTTATTTATTTATCTGAAAGGAATAAAAAAGAAAGTGACAGATCGAGAGAGACGAGAGAAAGAGAGAAAGACTTCCATCCACTGATTCACTCCTCAAATGGCTACAACAGGCTGGGGTGGGCCAGGCTGAAGCTGGGGTCTGGGACCTCCATCTGGGCCCCCCAGATGAGTGACTGGGACCTAAGTCCTTGAGCCATCACAGCTGCCTGCCAGGGTGTGCATTAGCAGGCAGCTGGAGCTGAGAGTCAGAGCCAGGGGTTGAAACCAGGCACTTTGATGTGGGACTTAACCAGCAGCTTAGCTGATCCTCCAAATGTCAGTTCCAAGATCTACATTTTTAAAAAAAAAATCTTAGGGTGAATATTTAGTGTAGCAGTCAAAGTCACTGGTTGAGAATCCCATGTCCCATAGTAGAGTGCCTGCTCTGATCCCAATCCCAGCTACCTGCTACTACACACCCTGGAAACTGAGGGCCCAAATAGTTGGGTCCTTGCCACCCAAGTAGAGGGTCTAGATTGAGATTCCAGCTCCTAGATTTAGCCCTGGGCCAGCCCCAGCCATTGCAGGCACTTGGAGTCAACCAACAGGTGGGAAATATTTCTCTCTTCCTTATCCTCCTCCTCCCTCTCCTCCTCCCTCTCCTCCTCCTCCTCCCTCCCCCCTTCCTTCCTTCCTTCCTTCCTTCCTTCCTTCCTTCCTTCCTTCCTTTTTTCTTTCTTTCCTCTCTTCTCTCCTTCTCTCTCTCTCTCCCCCCCCACTCCGTCTCTTCCCCTCTCAAATAAATTTAAAAAAAATTTTTGAAGGGACAAAGAAACTCCCAGATTCTGAACACACAGATAATTTCAAACCTCTCTCCTTCATGTATCGGAGCCTGTTTGAGCTGCTGTAAGAAAGCACCGCAGACCAGGTGGCTGGAACAAGCATTTATTTCCCACAGTTTTGGAAGCTGCAAGTCCAAGGTCAAGACCCCGCAGATTCTGCTCCCGGGGAAGACTCTGCCTGGCTTGCAAGCTGACCACTCGCTTTGTCCTTACATGGCATAGGAAGGGGTGGGGTCTCCAGCCTCTCCTCCTTTTTACTTTTTACAGTGAGAAAAGACCGTCGTTTCATTCATATATGGAGATAAACTAGAAGAAGAAAGGCAAAAATTCATCATAAATCGTCAGGGGAGTACCCCACCAGAGAGAAGGCATTTTGTTTGGCTTTCAGGGGGGCTGGAGCAGAGAATGTTCCAGCTCTGTCCCCTGTGTCTCCAGAGACAGGAAGGTCCCCAGATTTTCAGGAGGTCCACAGTGAGCACCAAGGATCTGTCAAGCCAGGCAAACCCAGCTTCAGACCCCAGCCCTGGCTTCCTGCTGGCGAGGGCTCAAGCACTTGGGTCCCTGCCACCCACATAGGAGATCCACTTTGAGCTCAGGGCTCCTGGCTTCTGCCTGGTCCAGCCCCAGCTGTTGCAGGTATTTGAGGGGTGAACCAGTGGATGTGTGTGGGTGTGCATGTGTGGGTGTATATATGTGTTTGTGTGTGTGTTGATTGGGTGTGAGTTGTATTGTATATGCATATGTGTGTATTGTATATGTTTGCATGTGTGTATGTACATTTTGTGTAGGCGTGTGTAAACATATTGTGTGTGATTGCATGTGTGTACATGTTGCATGCATGTGTTTCAGTGCATCTGTGTCATTATGTGTGTGCATGTACATATGTTAGTGAATCTCGTACAAAGTGGTGTTTCTTGTGTGTGACTATCGTGTGCACATTCTGTGTGTGTTCTGTTTGCATCATGTATACATTGTGTTGTACATTTTGTGTATGTGTAAGTGCACACATGCACATGTGTACA